GTTGAAGTGCTTCTAATCCACTTGTTATTGTTTTCTTTAGTATTGATCAAGTTCACTAGTACTTTGTATTGTTGTGCTGTCGCACGGTAATTTGACTTAATACATATGAGTCTTATCAGGACATTTTATTTTTAACATTTATCAGCCTATGTAATTTTATTTTAATCAAGATTATTAAAAATTTGTATATTTCCACAGCGTCATAAGATCGTTTTATATCTAAATACAACAGAGATAGCGCTGATTGGCTAATTAGAGCACAAACTCCGACCTATACATTTTATTTCAGCAAATTGATTAATAGTAGGATTTTATTACACAAAATTAAGAAGCACGGGTGAGGGTATCGGGGATAATAAATTTCGATTTCATATTTTCAGGTTTTTTGACGTTTTACAACTTTCAAAAATAGGTTTTTCTTTATATCGATTATTCAATTGAAAAAAATCATCAAGTTAGCGTTGTTTGTTTTTGATAGAAGACGTAGCGAACAACGTGTGTGTTTTATTAGCCCATACTGTTGTATATAAGTGACAGTTGACAAGAGTTGTTGAAAAGCGTTTATTTCATTATGCGAAAAAGTAAGGTTAGATTGTACCTTCCGGATTGTCAGCTGTCATCGATTAAGTTATGAGTTAAGTGCAGACATACTTCATAATGTTTACAAAAAATCAACGCCATCTTGATGACTTTTTCAGTCGCATATCCGATATGTGCTGACTGTTGTTACAGAGAAAGAATTAATAAAATAAAATACCGTAAGAAAAATAAAATTTTCAAATGTCGTCAACATGTTTTTGAAGGGGATAACAGATAAATGCTGAGTAGCGATATATCATCTTCACGCTCGGAATTAATAATAATAATTAATTTAGCTAAGCCTCGTAAATTTTTGACTGGATAAACTAAATGACAGATTAAGAAAATTGCGAAATTTTTAACGACCCATTTAAGCTTAATCATAAAGGAAAAATTCTAAAAAAATATTTAGTGGTTTCTCGTAATCGCCAATGTACTTAATTTTTAAAATACATAATTTGTTGAGATAATAATAATTTTTCGTAATATTCTGTACTGCGCAAATGATAATTAGTGATAACAAAAATTTTGAGGATGTTTATTCTGTATAGTTAATATCACCGTCTGTGTTGATTTTTATTAAACAGATCCTGGCAGAAACTACCGGACCGATTGTTGTCAAATTTTTCGTGTGTTACGAATACTGTGTAGATGGTAAAACGCTAACCAAAATTTGTGTAATCGGCCCTACCAACAATTTTATGACCTCAGCTCGGCATTTTGTGCTGTGAAGGATGATAAGATTTAATAAAAGAATGTTTTTTGATATTTGTGGCTTATAAATCCAACTTGATTTTGTTTATTATAATTTTGATTGTCTAATTCTTCGTATATAGAAGATTTGAAGTTCAACAAGGCATTTTCTATCCTTTTTTTTTTTACTTTTTAAGCGTACGCTAAGGACGTAATTGAGTCCATCGGGCGACGTGCCACTTTCATGTCTGTCTATCTGTCGTCTGTATCATTTTTTTATTAGACACAATCTCCGAAACTACTCGACCGATTGTTGTCAAATTTTGTATGTATATTAGGACTATCATGTAGAAGGTATAACCCTAACCAAAATTTGAGTAATCATCCTCCTAATGGGATTACATCATCTCCAAAATCTACAATAATTATTTTTTTGCAATCTCAAGAAATAAGACACTTCTGCGCTTGTGATACATGAGTGCGTGTTGAGTTTTCACTACTAGATATCTAAATTTTTTGAAAAAAAAAAAAAAATTAAAATTGTATATATAACAATATGTAGCAATTTAACATTGAAACTGAAAAACCAAAAATCTTGCAAACGTTTTAAGGTTATCGTAATTGTGGTAGATCGTTAATCAAAATGTATTCGTTATCCCCTCCCAAAAAATTGAGAACATCATTTCTAAACTGTGCCTAATAAATATTTTCTGAAATATGGAAAATACACTGACAGACTAAAAAACCCGGACACTTGAATTTTTTGTGATTACCTGCAGTTGGTCGAACTTTTGTAAAAAATATTCCAAAAAGCAAGACATTAATTTATCCATTAACAGAAAACATAACTTTATTGTAAAACATGTGAAAACAGAAAAAAAATTAAAACAATTATAACACTAAACATCTGCGTAAAGTTACAAATTTTCAAGTGTCGGTTTTTTTTTTGTCTGGGAGTGTATTACGACTGTATAGTTGTGGTTTTTCAGTGCACTCATAGTTTTTAGAATTACTTATACAGGGTGACTAAAAAAAAATTTTATAAGGCAATTTATTGGATTGATTAATTTAAGAACGACTCACTCCATTTTCCCGAAAATTTGGGAATACATTCTGTTATTAGTACAGTAGACGCCGCTTAATATGATCACGGTTAATGTTATCAACCGCTTAGTGTGATCAAAATGGCTTGGAACGGGCCCACGCAATACCTATGCATTACAGTTTTTCCGTTTATTGTGATCAATATTTCGCTTATTGTGATCAATCTCGCAATTCTTAAACAAACGGGAATTGCTTTTTTGGAGAAGCGAGACGACTGAAACTAGTATTGTGTTTTAATGAACATTCATTACTCTCAAAAGGTACTACTCATTTTATACAACCACAATCAGTGGTCAAAAACAGACTTAAAATCAGTGCGTTTTCGACTTTTGAACAAACGAATTTTTTCTGTTTTAAATCTGAGTAGACTTATGTAACAATTAACACGTCGAAACGACGAAATCTCAGTTTATCAGAGAAAAAAAAAAATTCAGCCCTTACTTAACAAATTTCTACAACAACCAAAGGAAATCGAGGGTTCCTTTCTCAGAATGGTAACCAAAATTTAAAATAAATTCTAATATTTATATACCTTCATCTACCAGCGTAATAAACACTGTCTTGTTCATGATTTTGTGTTGTTTCGAGTTTTACTGTCTTTGATTGTGGTTTTCGCTTATTATTATCAGTCGGTTAGTGTGATCAATTTGTCTGAGTCCCACAGTGATCACATTAAGCGGCGTCTACTGTATTACATATTCACTATTTTTCTCTTTTGATTTTATAATTTGTCTTTTATTCAATTTTTCAATTTTGCAATTTTTGGATTTCCAGTTATCCAATTTCTTTCATTTTTAATGTTTCGATTTTACACCCTTTCAATTTTTAAATTTCTCGTTTTATACTTTTTCGTTTGTATTTTTGATTTTTCAATTTTGCAGTTTTACAATTTTTCGATTTTTTTGCTTTTGTAAAGTTGAAAAATCGAAGACTTCAAAAATCCAAAAATTAAAAATCGAAAAACTGAAAGAACGAAAATCGAAAAAGTAGAAAATTTAAAAATCGAAGAATTGAGAAACGAAAAATTGAAACATTGAAAAACTAAAAATCGAGAAACCTATAAATTAAAAAAAAAAGTGATGAATCACAAAATCGGAAGGAACTAACATCGTGTCGAATCGAAAAATTTGAAACCCAAAAATTGTGAAATCAAAAAAATTATAGAATCGTCAAAATTCTAATATTGAAAACTGGTATGATCGAAAGATCGAAAAATTGAAAAATTAAATATGGAGAGATTGAAAAATTAAAAATTGAAAATTTAAAAAAGTCGAATAATTTAAAGAGCTTAAAAATCCAGTAATTGAAAAATGGAAAAATTATGATTATTATTACATAATTGAAATAAACTAGAAAATCCCAAATCAAAAATTGACAAAACGAAAAGTGAAATATCTAAAAGTTGATAAATCTAAAAACTGAAAACGAAAAATTGCAAACCCACGAATTGAAAACTGCAAAAATTGAAAAATTTCGTTTAAAAAATGAAAAATTATAGAATCAAAACATTGAAAAATAGAAAAATTTAAGACATCAAAAACTAAAAAATGGAAAAATTTAAAAGATCTAGTAATAGATGTATTTGATTTTATAATACATCTCGTGAAAAAATTTCGTATGTTTCTCGAATTAATTTTTTTACGGTTAACGTTAGCGTCCGTTACTGCTATACAATCCCAAACGAATATAATGTTTTTTCACATCGAGTCGGAAATGGAAATGTTTGTTATTTATACGTTAATATTTAATTGTATGTATCTCGTTCATTATAATTTATGTAAAAACTGGGTTTATTAGTTGAAATATGAATAAAAGTAAACATAACTTTTATTTTCGTTATAGCAAGTTAGAAATAATCTTAAGTTTCGGGGTAAAATATCGAACGTGGCTGATCGAAATTGTCATTTATAGTTACTGAGTTTTTTAAAATACATTATAAGCAATGTTGCGCTTTTCAATCTTACACCGTGTGGTTTTTAAAGTTTCTGCTCTAGCTGGCCATGGGGCGTACGTCAGCAGTCATGGCCAACTAGAGCAAAAAATTAAAAAATCACCAGATGTTATCTGTTAAAATAGGAATACTTAAAAAAAAATGAAATAATTTAAATTCGTATGAATAAAAAATCAGTAGTGATTTTTCTACATTTGTTTAGTTTTGTTTGTTACTGTAAGAATTAAGTTTACTTTTTTTGGTCATTGGATTTTTAAATTTGTCAAATTAAAATATTATTCTCGTCATGTATATGTCTTGACTTGTATTGTAAACAGATTAAAAAATAGTATCCTTTTACCAATATGCCACAATTCGTTACCATATATAGCAAGAAATGTATCTCTGTGATTGATCCAAACCGCGATTTCCAGTTGATTGAAAATATTTTATTTCAATGGAAGCTCAAGTTACACTTCCAAATTTGTAATAAAGTGAAACTGCGTCGTAAAATCCACTCTTCGACTGAATTTTTTCCCATTTTACGTCTCATTAAGTATCTGTTTATAAGTAAATTTAATTGCACCCAAATTTACGATACGTTGGAATGGATGTACGAATAAAGGAGTTATTGATGAAAATGATTCCAGAGTATCAGCAGACGGGATGTAACGTTATGTTGTTTTTGTTTCAGGTCATTTTTTGGAATTTACTGTGGAACCGACCGACACAGTGGTAGAGGGGGGACAGTCGGCCGTTTTAGATTGCGTCGTAAGGGCTTCCCATCCATCAAGCGTGTTGATTCAATGGCTGGATCAAGACCTTCAAAAGCTCACTTTCTTAGGTGATCTTTATAGGTACGCTATCGGTTTACAAAGATGCATTTAATTAGAACCGCTCACAAATCTCACGTTACCCCTAGGTCTCAACTTACCAACGGTTCTCTATATATAAATAGTGTGTTAGAAGAACAAAGACTTACAGGAACCTACCAATGTATGGCCACGTTGCCGAGTATGGGCTCCATCGTGAGCAGAACCGCCAAGTTGAACGTAGCCAGTGAGTAGAATTCATTTTCTCGGGCTCTTATTTAAATTACCCCGAAAAATGCAGAAACTTTGTCGCCTCGGAGAGAATTAAATTAATTTACATTTTCGTGACGCTTAATTTGAAATTAATCCTTTGATTAGCGTCTAAACTTCGCGGCTTTGTAAATTTTCGTTTAGGAGTAAGTTTTACGTTTTTTCCTTTCGACGAGTTAATGCGGAAAGTTCCTAATGAAACGCAAACCGTATTGAAGGCAACTTTTCGACGGAAGTTTATCGGTTCATGTTTGTAGGCAATATCGGCCGTTAATCCCATCATTTCGATTCCATTTATCCAGGAAACCGACAAAAAGATGATTCTGTGATTTATCTCCGAGTGCGTGTCATCGCGTCATTTACGTGTCGCCCATCTATTTTATTGATAAAAGACCCGGAATAAGGGAGATGAACAGCAATGAATCGCTTACAAAGAGAGAAAATCTAAAAAGCCATTAAATTAATGAATGCTATACGGTTCAACATTTTTGTTCCTAGCACGTAACAAACGGCCGGCTCATTAATAACGCACCTTCATTAAAATCCACGGGCTAAAACAATGGTTAGCCACTATCAGTATCAGCGGCAACGCAAACTATTATTCTGTTAATTAATTACGTGCTATATGTAATTAAACAGTTTATAATTTAGTTTGAAGTAATGTAATAAACGAGCACACTGTATGGATACTTGTTTTTTAATATTGCCATTGTTAATTAACTAAAAGCCCGATTTTGAGTTAACATTTTAGCAGCTTACGTAGATGCCGCTGGGGTAAATTCAAAGGGAATTTCCACTTTAAATTTTCATTTAAATATGATTAACGAGATTGCAGTTAGTAGTTTAATTAAGATTAAATTTACTCATTTGTTCGAAAATTGAAAATGCGTTAAATCGGAGTGAAATTCTTATACAAGAGAAATGAAGGGAATTTTAAACACGGAGGGTTCATTTCACTGTTTTAATTTTTGCATTAAATTCATGCTGATGTAACGTAGCTCCAGGAATGCGACAGATTGTCATTTCTTTTAGTAGATACAAATGTTGTGTTACTTTTTGGTTACTGATTTTTGTCAGGGTTTTTTTATTTTGTCAACAGCTAACCAACTGGACAAATGAAAAATTGTTGCCGATTGTTTCGAGTAGGGCGAATTTGAAAATTACATAAAAAATACAAATTATAATCAAAAACTGCCAATACCGAGTTGTTTACGATTTTTTTGTCAGGTTGGCAACATATTTAAAATTTTATAATGGCCCATTTGATTGTCAAATTGACATGTATCACACTATCACGTAAGTCAATAGCTCTCATTTTCGCAATACATTTTTGAGGCGCGCTCATCTGAAAATTGACAGCTGGAAACTGACATATGTACTAAGTTTGCTGCCAATATGTATTTCAGAAGTGCCAACACAAAAATTCGTTTGTCATTAATAGTTAGTTAATAGTTGAATTTTTCCCAACTGCTAACCACTAGTAGTAAGAAAAGCAATTAACTGCAAATGTGGTTAGTTATGATTGATAACTAACAACAACTTTTTTTTTGCCTTCATTTTTGACTTTAAATTCCCCGCTTTTATACCCAATTATTGGGTGGATAATATTTGAAGTATATTTTGTAAAATATTTGAAATTTTCAAGTATTTTATTTTACTGTTGACTCGAATTTGTTATGTTGAATTCGATTATTTTAATGTTAAGTAATTTTTATGCCCTTACGAGTATTTAAAAATTTGTTGTATTTTTTATTAATAGATATTCTTAAATAAAAAAAATTGGTCGAAAGTTATTTCGACAGAACTTCCCTCGCTTCTGAAGTGCAATCCAACAAACCTTGTTTCTCTGAAAAATGATAAAATTTGATTTTGGAGAATTTTACTTTTTTGTGATAATTTCTATGGAATAAAGGTACTCGTTAACGTCACAGTGCAATAGAAAAAAAGGTTTAACCGTCTTAAAAAAAGACAGTTGGGGCCACTGAGAAGGTTTCGCCTTCATTAAATAGGGCCAGTTGGGCCCCCCGAGAAGGTTTCACATTCTTAAAAATGAACGTTTAGCGCCCTCGAAAAGGTTTTAAATTTTTAAAAAAGACAGTTGGGACCCCCAAGAAGGTTTCACATTCTTAAAAAAGACATTTGGCGCCCCCTAGAAGGTTTTACATTTTTTAAAAAGACAGTTGGGACTTTTAAGATGGTTTCACATAAAAAAAAGACATTTGGGGCCCCCGACAAAATTTAGATTTTTAAAGAAGACAGTTAGGACTCCCGAGAAGGTTTCACTTTCTAAAAAAAAAACATTGGCGCCCCGGAGAAGGTTTTACATTTTTACGTTTCACCTTTTCGAGAAAATGCGGTAATTTCAACAATAAAAATTGTGTTATGACGTCATAAACATAGATAATACGTAATGCGAGAGAAAAAGAGAGAGAGAAAAAAAGAAAAAGCAAAGGCCAAGTTTGGAATCGAACGCGCCACGTCCAGTCCTCATTCCTGGGGTGCGATTTTCTTTCTCGATCGAAAAAAACTCGATAGCGATAAAATCTCGTTTGCTGATTGGTTGAGATGCTACATTTCTGTCACATTTCTCGATTCTGTCACGAAATCAAGTCTTCATGGAGTGATATTTTCTCGATAGCTCTGAGTGAAGTGATGGAGACATAACCTCGAAATTTATGTCAAAATAGAAGTTCAAAATCGTAATTCTGAGTTATAAGTTCTTAAAATTAAGGTAATTGTAAACTTTTGAGCATTTAATAAGCTTATATCCAAAGAATAAATGCAAACTTTTGCATTTAAAAGCTACGCAATGACATTTGTCGCAGTGATAATTTATCACTTCGATCGAGAAACAAAATCGCACCCCTGATTCGTTACCACTAGACTACGACCCGGATGTCGACTACGACCCGGATGTCTTTTGCTAATGTTAAATTATCACCATGTTTTTGCAAAAATTTGGACGGTTAGGGAAAAACTCAAAGCGGATTCGTACACCACACTTATAGGACTATGTTGTTGTATAGCAGTTAAATCATAGAATATTTTGAAATGACGCTACATCATTAATTATTAAAAAAAGAAAAAGATCAAAGACTATGGTTCTTTAAGGTCCATGCACTAAAATTATTTTCAACTATACAGAGTGTCCATCTTTTAAAACGAACATATCACTTGGCTTTTTTCAAATAGAATGTCCTATATACGAGTATTTTTACATATTCTGAATCTATTCTATTCGATTCTATTCTGCTTTGGCTTTATAACCACAGTTTATTTTTGAAACTTCAATGCGACGTTGCCAGGTTATTCAATGACTAATTAAATTATTATTACTGTATCTTATTCTGTTTTTTGTTTCATTTTTGTAAGTATTTTCTATATTTCAAGTTGACGGTAATTGCGATTTTTTACTTTTTTGAGAAACTGACATATTGAAAGAGAACAAAAATGAGAATCAGATGCAGTAATAAAATAAAGGACTTCCTATTTGAAAAAGACCGAAATATAAATATGTGAAAATTTTAACGTTGCATATTTTTCTTATAAACATTGTATATTAAAATTGGATTCAATTAATAGCACAACAAAGTGCTTATCTCTCCATAAAATATTGCAACACAGATCTTAAAAACATTATCGCAATTTTTTTGTGAACTTTTGCATTGGTAGAAAAATTCAAGAAAATTGGAATAACGTGGCAACGTCGCATCGGATTTTTAAAAATAAGCTGGTTATAAAGCTTAGGAAGAAACTAATAAAAATATATAAAAATGCATAGAGTGCTCTACGCCATTTAAAGTTCCTAAAATAATATACTCTTATACTCGTGGTTTATGAATCCGCTTTGAGATTTTAAGTTTTTGCCATAGCCATCCAAATTTTCGTACAAAAGTCTGGCATGGCAGTCATTGCTCCACGGTATAGTGCAGAAATTAACGTCCCCGATTACTAATTTATAAACAGTGACATTTTTCACTCATATTTGTGAGAAATAAATATTCTATGCAAAGTTTACCACGGCAGTCTGTTATTTTGGGTGTGCACTAGCCGTACATTTCGAAACATTGTATTTTTGAAGAGTTAAAGGAAACAAGGAAAAGTTGACGAAATAAATATTTGAAGAAAAAATAAGGTATAAAGTCAAATTTATTTTCGCACAAGGCTTTCTCTATGGGTGGTTCAATACAGTAGCAAAGAAGTTTCTTTTGGTTTATCAATATTTAGCGAATTAGCTTCCAAAAATATTTTATTTGTAGAATACTGCTACACATGTTTCGTACATATTTCCTTCATCAGATCGATGAACTTATGACTAGGGAAAATGTTTTTATAAAGTACTGATGAGTGTTAAAATTAAAATTTAAGGTAGGTAACAGTTTTAAATTTAACAGAGCTCTATTACTAACATTATTTTGTTTTAATTTCAAGACATTCAAACTTTTTTTTTTTATTTTGGACCTTATCTACAAAGTGAAGATTTTGAACTTATCACTGAATGTTTACCAACGTTGAGTTTGTTTTATTGTTAATATAGCAATTTTTGTGTTTCCATACTTTATCTTCAAATTTTTAGCGAATAGACTGCAGAATTTGCATTTTTATTTTGTTTTTGAGTAATTAATTTAATTAGTGAATATCTGATCTACTGCAAATTTATGACTTTATGTCTCTCTGTGTGTCAGTTTATGGAAGATACTGAATTCGTTCCAGTCGTTGTGATGGTTAATTGTAAGACCTACAAAGCTTTGTTATTTCTGACGAAGTTATCTAACAAACAAAATATCTTTTATGTAAAATATATTTACGAGCAGAAATGGTTGCAGTTTTTTCATTTTTATTAGCAAACTGTAACCCCGCCTGTTTCAGAACTCAGGGTGAAGTAGGACGACGACCTCTAGATTTACATTTAAACGGCACCTGTGCGAAAGGCATATTATTAAATAACATTGTTATGAATTTTGCCGGCAATTTTCATTTATTTATTTATTTTTTTGGGATCGACACGATATTAATTGCAATTATACATGAACTTCAAACTCTGCTGATGAGTCGTAAAAATTAAAAAAATCAACCCTCGTGGGAAGTAAATTATTTAAAATTCATTTTCACCGTTTCCATAAACATCTGTATTATATTATTAAGTCTCCAGTTTTCAATTTGCGTAAAATTATTTCGGTGTTTATGTTGCACAAAATTTGTTTTAAATTAAATAAGGACAATTTCAGCAAAATAAAAGGGCAAGGAATGTTTTTTTAAAAAACAATAAAATTCATGTTGCTAAAACGCAGATAAATAATCTTGTTGCTCCTTTTACCTTAGGTCTAATTAGTGTTTTGAATTCTTTGTGTAATGTTAGTGTTTAGCTGGAGTTGCGTGGGTACAAAAATATGACCGAGATAAGACTTTACGACTTTTGCTTCAACGACACTAATTACGACAATAATTATTATCTGAACAATTACATTTTGCTTATTTTACCGCACACTGGTAACTTCGTTGATAACACCTTTAACTGTCTTTTTTTCAATATTTTTCTAAAATTTTATATATTCTTTAAAAATCGTAGCTTTTGAAAGGTGTAAATAAACAAGTAATTAAAATTGGCGAAATTCCGTTTTTTTTTTTTGTTCCGCGATCGTCTAACGTATAACACAATTAAAACCGGGGATTGTACTACAAAGGCTTTTAATATTGTCCAGTTTATGAAAAAATTGCTTGCATTTTACTCTCGCAACGAATTTTTTTCGGGGATAAATCAGTACATTTGATTTGTTTTTGTTGGAACAGTTTGTTGGCGTTTTAAACTCGTCAATCCGAATTTCTTCGGTTTTTGACGTATTCTTACTTGATTAAAAAATTTTTAGAGGTAATCGTGTAATTCTGGATACATTTCAAACGTTTAAAATCTTTTGGGCGACACAAGATTCTATTGTATTTCATCGGTTGTGGGTAAGATTACCATTATTTCGGGTACAAAAGCTCCCACAACATTTATTTAGTCGCGATTCGAAACGGATTTATTTTTACACCTTTGCGTTGTGTTTGTCATCAAATAAAAGAAAGAATCTCTTTAAGGTATATCGGGCTTTGTCGAAGAGCCTCGCGATATCAGTGTTTACGTAGGACAAAAGGCCCATTTCGCTTGTCATGTAGTGTCATCGCCGCCAGCCAGAATTCGATGGTTGAAAGATGAAAGACCTCTACTTATAGACGAATTAAGGATGACTATTCTTCCATCTGGAGCTTTAGAAATCGATGAAGTGATAGAGTCCGATCAGGGCTTATACAGGTACTGTACTGAAAAATGATTATAATGTAATAATGTAACTACTACAGGTGTAACGCGTCTGGTTTAAATGTGTACAAATTAAGCAATAAAGCTACACTGTTAGTAAACGGGGACCATGAACAAGCGGATCATGCTTCATCCCCGACTTTTATAGCTACGCCAAAACCATCTGTGGTCATAGAAGGCCAAAATATTTCACTAGACTGTGCAGCTAATGGCAATCCAAATCCAACAATAACTTGGCTCAAAGACGGTCGTATTATTGATATGACGTTAGTTGTTTTTGTTTGTTTTAAGTTGTAGTTAAAATTTTTGTTTCTAGCTTTTTGGACAGTAGATTTAGTAAAGTCGGGTCTACAAGTTCTTTACGAATTACTAATATTAAGGAAGAAGATGCTGGAACTTATCAGTGTCGAGCAGAAAATAGGGAAGATAGCTTAGATGCTTCAGCTACGATTCAGGTTCAAGTAAGTTATTTACATATGACACAAATAATGCATCTGCGAGATACTGTTAGTTATCTAATCTGTGTTTGTCTTCCTGGATGCATTTGATGCGTATTCGTTGCGATGTAAACAATCGATTTGAGAAGGTTTACTGTGTAAATTATAAGCAAAGATCATGGGGTCGGAATTCAACAAGACTTATTTTTGTTAAATTATTTCAGGTGCCTCCTAGGTTTTTAAAGAAACCCCAAGATAAAACAGAATTAGCAAATAAAGACATTGAGTTAGAATGTAGTGTGTACGGTCGTCCTGAACCCAAAATCAGTTGGTTCAAGAACGGAGAAGTTATCAATTCTAATGAATATTATCAAATTGTCAACGGGTATTATTAGTACACTTTTATCGTAGTGTGGATAAATTGAGTCATTTTTAGACACAATTTGAAAATAATGGGACTAATAGCGACAGACTCGGGGATTTTTCAGTGTTTTGCCTCAAATCCAGCAGGGAACATTCAAGCAGCTGCCAGCATGAAAGTGATCAATCCTGGTTAGTATAATTGAAAGTAATTATTAGTCTGATCGGAGGCTTCGAATTCTTTCGTAAAGATTTCGCTGCGGTGATTTTCGCCAAAACGAATTGGTAGCGACAGTTTTTCTGCTAACGAAATAAGCAAACACGAATTCGATTTGCAATTGGAATTTTCACCTTTTCGGGGTTTCAGAAATTGATTAAATTTCGCGCGCATTTTCGTACAAGTGTAATTTAGAATATTCGCCGTTCGATCTGTGGGATTGCGAGTCGTGAAATTTTTGTTTTTTTTTAGCAAAAACATGTGTTGTGTTGAAAATTAATTAGTCAACAATTAGAAGATGTATTAAAATTCATGAAAACAGCAACTCATTATTATTATTTTTATTGTGTTGTTTAAACTCATTAATCATTATCTAGGAACATATATCAACAAAATTGGTTGCTTATTATGAAGAGAAACTTGGGATTTTAACTTTATGGGTTGTTTAATTACAAAAGTTAATGATCATGGGAAATTAAAAATGCAGTTGTAATGTTTTTCAGTTCTTCTTATATATAAAAAGTAATAATAAATTTTATAAATTAGTAATTTTTGTCAGTTCCATTTTGAAATTGAAAATAGTTAAACAAAATATTACAAAATAATTAATTTGTTTTCTAGTTTTAACTGTCATTAATTGTTCTTTTAGATCTTGTGTTTCGTTACACGTAAAAACAAAAGTTTATTTCACATAAAGTGAGCTTTAAATTACAAACAAGTAATTGAAAACGGCATTCGAGACTGTCTTTTTTTTGTATGAGCACCCTTTGGTCTCAAATTTAATGCTAATTCAATTTCTCCTATTATGTACATCGTTTTCGACACCAGAAAGTCGTGATTTAATGAAAAACTCTTCAGTTAAAAAAATCTAATTTCTTCTGGCAATTTTGAATAGAAATCTTAAGCTGGAATTGTTTAGAAAAGTTCGGTTGGGTAACGAATTTTTTTAATACTTCCAAAATTGTTTTTTATTTTATCGGTTCTGGAAAAAGTGTTCGAATTTTCGAAGAATTGAACCCGAAACTAACTTCTACAAGTCGAAGTCTGCAAGAAAATTACGATTTTTTAACAGTACTCCAAAACGGTTAAAAAATGTACATATATTGAAAAATGCAAATTTTTGGAAAGTTGCCTAAAAATTCCCAAAAATTCTGGGATGTAGATCTTGGTGGGCTGATTCGAAAAACATAAAGTGTTAATGGTTTCGGACCAGCACTTTTGAAAAATTTGGTTTGAAAATGGAAGTTTTTGATCTCAAAAATTGCATTTCTCATTATATCGATTCTGGAAAAATTTTTCCAATTTTCAAATAAATGAATCCGAGAATAACTTCTACAAGTCGAAATCTACAACAAAATATCTTTAATTATTCGTGTCGTGCTCCAAAAACGGTTAAAAAGTTCCAACGGATGGTCTGAAAAAAATGAGATTTTTTAAACGTTGCCTCAAAATTACTAAAAAATTCCGGGAAATAGATCTCGACGAGCTCATTCGAAAAATGTAAAGTGTTAATGATTCTGGACCAATATTTTCAAAATTCGCTTTAAAAATAAAAAAAATATCTCCGAAAACTCCTATTCTTAATTTCTTCGTTTCTGGAAATTGTTGGAATTTTCGAAAAAAATAAAGTCGAAAATAACTCCTACTAAAAGTCGAAATCTACAAGAAACTGTCTCCTAGAATTTTGTAAAATGGTAAAAAAATTCATGCGGGAGGTATTCAAAAATCTAGATTTTTGGGAAACCGCTTAAAAAATCCGAAAAAATTCTGGGATATACTCGTAGATCTCGACGAAACATAATTTTTTTATATATCGAAAGTTTTCATTTTCCATTAAAAGGTGATAGAATTTTCAAAGAAATGAATTCGAAAATAACTTCTACAAGTCAAAATCTACAAGAAAATGTTTTCAAGTAATTTTCGAATGGTGTTGGAAAACTGTAAAAGAAATTCCAACGGGGAATTTTGAAAAATTGGGATGTTTTAATCGTCGCCAAAAAATCCTTAAAAAAATTTTCGAGTATATATCTTGCTGAACTGATTCGAAAAACAAAATCTAAATGATTCCGGGCGAAGATTTTCGAAAAATTCGGTTTGAAAATGATTTTTTTCTCCCGAAGACTGTCATTTTGCATCTTATCGGTTCTAGAGAAATTATTGGAACTTTCTTAAAAATAAAGCTCAAAATAACTTCTAGAAGTCAAAGTCTACAAGAAAATGCCTTTCAGTAATGTGCTAAGAGTGTTCTAAAACGGTCAGAAAACCCAAACTTGTAAAGTTCAGATTCTTAGAAAGTTGCGTAAAAATTCCCAAAAAATTTTGGGATATTGATCTCGACGAGCTCATTCGAAAAATATGGTTATGGAAAATTTTACGAAGTTTTAAAGAAACGAATCCGAAAATAAATTCTACAAGTCGAAATCTACAAGAAAATAAAAAAAGTAATTTTCGAATGGTGCTCGAAAAGCAAACAAATTCAAACGAATGCTATCGAAAAATTGAGATTTTTGAAAAGTTACTTAAAATTCATCAAAACATTCTGGCAATCAGGTGTTAATTAATGATTCCGGATTAAGATTTTCGAAAAACTCGGTTTAAAAATGATTTTTTTTTTATCTTGAAAATTTCTATTTTTAATTTTTTCGACTCGTTCTGTAAAAATTCTTGGAATTTTCGAACAAATAAAATTGAAAATAACTTCTACAGGTCGAAATCTACAAGAAAATGTTATTTATATAGTAATTTTCTAAGAGTGCTCGACGATTTTCGAAAAATTCGGCTTGAAAATGAAATGTTTAAATTTCTAAAATTGTTACTTTTTATTGTATTAATATTAAATTATTGAAAATTTCGAAAATGATTTCTACAAATCCAAATATCTTTGTGTAATTTTCGAATAGTGCTCGAAAAAATGAAAAATTGAGAATTTCGAAAACTTGTCCAGAAATGTTAAAAAAATTTTGGGAAACAGGCAAAGATTTCCGAAAAATTCGATTTGAAAATGTTTTTATCTCGAAAATCGTCATTTTTCTTTTTATCCATTCCGAAACAAATTGTGAAAGTTAGCAAAATGTAGCAATTGTTGGAATTTTCGAAATATATTTACTTAAAAAAATTATAATTGTATTCATTTTTTTTGTGGGACATCCTGTATTTACCAAATGATTGTCTTATCTTTGGTGGTAAACTGTTGCACCAAATTGGAGTCGACAGTTATGAACTGAATGTTAGCATTTAGAACGGGTTTCCGCTTAAATTGTTCAAGGTGGATCAAATATGCACACATGTATGCATCATACATGTACGAAATATGCTGTAAATATTTACAACTAAAGTGATAAATACAAATTGTATTAATCATGCACATGCGGTTGAACTCTACATGTGTAAACAAAACACTTACTTGCTTATTCTAGTTTGTGTATTTATTTCATTGTAAAACAATTTATAATTGATTCCCTTTAATTTTTTTCAGTTAAAAAATGTTGATTTTTAAATAAGCCTGCACATTTTTGGAAACTGCTCAAAATTACTACGTATAAATATTAATATTAAAAACTACGCAAAAGCATTAATTAATAATAAGTTTACAAATTGCATGTATTCTAGATTTTAATGACTGCCTATGGGGAAAATAAAGTAATAACGTGCAGTAATTTAAAAAACAAACACGAACATCAACAAACTTTCGTCTTCCAAGTTTTACAGGAACGCAATTATTGTAAATCGACATTTTTCTTGCATATTTGAAGCTAGCAGAAAATAAAGCGTGAGCTCTTCGGTCGTGCGTTAAGAAATTACTAACAATATGAGCGAATTTTTATGGAGTTTCGAGCCCCAGAATCCAGACTATGTCGTCCATTTCATACAATATTGTCGTCGACGTTTTTATTTACATTTTTTTATTTTCTTTTTCCCTTACCTTTTAATCCCCGTATTGTCTCCTCTTGTCGCATACTAACTGCATGTGCATGTCTAGTGCCGAAGAAACCAAAATCGAGTCGTAAAAAAGTAAAAAAAGACGAACCTCACCATAAAACTCCGATTGATAAAATGCAGTCGATCACTCTCTTTTCTCACTTAAAACCTGAAAACTCCGCAAAGTTGGGCGACGTAGACTTTGGTCACTTAGCATCCCGTAGGAATTACATGCAAGACTCCTCCACATTTTCCGCCAGTCATAGTGTCTTTGACCCTCACAGAGCTTTTTCCTCATTGAAAAGTAGCGAGTCTTTCGATAATATTAACTTGGGTGATACTCAACATGCTTTCTCCCCTGCCTCCCCTAAACCTTTTATAGCGGAAACCCCAGTTTCCAAGACAAGTGAAGGATTACCGGGACCACCTCAGGACCTCAAAGCGCCCATTGTCAAGGCGAGATTCGTTACTTTGAGCTGGAAGCCGCCGCTCATTAATAATGAACATATCCACACTTACACGGTCTACTACCGACAAGAGGGCAGCGAACGGTGAGTTTTTACTTAGTACAAAGTATTGATGAATACATTTCCGGCAATTAGGATGTGTGGTGAAGTGGACATTTGAAATGCCAATTTTATTGATTAAATACATTTGCATTTATATTGCCCGAATATGCAAAAACTTTGTGTGCTTACGGTGCCATTTTCGAAACTTTATTAAAAACTTTGGACGTTTACTCGGTTAGAACATTTTTTATTTATACTTGAGGGTGTTGGGGTAAAGGAAGCTAAATGGTCACGTTAAAAATCACAGACGAGATAAAATTTTCAATCACGCGATGAAGTTAGTTCGGTAATGACGAGGGGGAGGTTTGAAAACCTGTAGAACAGATTACATGGAAGCTGAGTAAAACTGAAATGTTTGATAAAGCTGAGTGGTTAAGATTATTGAATCATTTTTATGAAAATGAATGAGGAAATCTTTTTGTTACAAATTCCGGAGCGTATGCTAAGGAAGTATTGTAATCGAGTTCATTGAGCGACTGACTGCTTTCATGTTTTCTCGAAGTTTTATGACCCGGAGAGTACGCAAAATAGGTCTCCCGTTTCCGTCTGTCATGCATCGATTATCAAAATTTATCCATTCATGCCCCCCCACCCCCGGATTCGATGAAGTTATCTTACAATTTTGTCAAATACATCTTAATTGTTAAAAAGTAACATAGTCCTGAACTTGTGGTTTATGAATCCGTGTTGAATGTTTATGTTAAATAATCAAACTTTTGTAAAATAAATCAAAATTATAGACATATGTATAACAATTTTTGATTTCTCAATTTATCGCATTTTCGATTTCTCAATTTTTCAATTTTCAATTTCCCAATATGTATTTGAATATTTCAGTTTTTTCATTTTCTTGATTTTCAATTTTTTGGATTACTCAATTTTTCGATATTTCAGTGTTGGGATTTTTTAATTTTTCAATTTTTCGATTTTTCAGTTTTGGGCATTTTCTAAAATTTCTCAAAATTTCGCTATTTTAGTTTTCGCATGTTTCAATACATATTTCAACTCCTCGATTTTTCGATTTATCAACTCTTCGATTTTTTGATTTATCAGCGTTTAGATTTTTCGATTTTTTTTCAATTTTCCGGCTTTCCGATTTTTTTTTCAATTTCCCAATTTTTCATTTTTTGATTTTTAAATTTTAGATTTTCCAATGTTTCGATGTTTCGATTTCTCGATTTTTCAATCGAGAATCGAAAATCTGCAATTGTTCGATATTTTGATTTTTCAATTTTTTAAATTGTAGATTTTTCGATTTTAGTTCTTCGATATTTCTTTCTGTTTCACATTTTCGAATCTGTAAATTTTAGATTTCAACTTTTTTTTCAACTTCTAGGTTTTGATTTTTCGGTTTTTCAATTTAATTAGATATGATGTTTCGATTTTTCGACTTTGGGTCATTTTAATAACGCAGTTTTAATTTTCTATTTTTCGATTTCTCGATCTATTTGGTGTTTCGTTTCTCGATATTTCAGTTTTTCAATTATTCGATGTTTCAATTTTTCGGTTTTCGATTTTTTTTTTCACAATGTTTCGGTTTTTCAGTTTTTCGATTCCCCAATTTTTTGATGTTTCTGTTTCTCTAATTTTAAATTTTTCGGTTCTTCAGTTTTTCGATATTTTTTTTAATGTTTCAATTTTTAAATTTTAGATTTTTAGATTTCTGGATTTTTCAGTTCCTCGAATGTATAATTTTTTTATTTTTCATTGTGATTTTGAAGTTTTTTCGTTTTTTTTTGAATTCTACATTTTTAGATTTTTAATTTTACGATTCGATTTCTTGACATCTCAGCTTTTAGATTTTAAAAATTTTTCGACGTTCGATTTTTAGATTTCTCAATCTTTCAAGTTTTCGATTTCTAAACATTTCAATTTTTCGGTATATTAATTTTTCGATTTTTTGATGTTTCTGGTTATCCGATTTTTCAATTTTCAATTTTTCTATTGTTCTTAGATTTTTCAATGTTTCGATTTTTTTTTTTTGATTTCTTGATTTTTCAGTCGAGAATCGAAAATCTCCAATTGTTCGATATTTGGATTTTTCAATTTTTAAAATTTTAGATTTTTCAATTTTAGTTCTTTGATATTTCCTTTTACTTCTCAATTTTTCGAATTTTGAAATTTTAGATTTTTCAGTTATTTTATGTTTCGATTTCTCGATCTTCCGATTAACATCTCGCTTTTAGATTTTTCGGTTTATCAATTTTCGGATTTTTAAAATTTTTGCTTTTTCAATTTTTCGATTTCTCAACTTTTCTATTCCTCGATCTTTTGTTGTTTCGTTTCTCGATATTTCAGTTTTCTTAATTTTCCGATGTTTCGACTTTTCGGCTTTCCATTTTTTGTTTTTACAATGTTTCGATTTTTCCCTTTTTCGCTTTCCCAATTTTTCGTCATTCCAGTTTTGGAATTTTACAATTAGTCGATTTTTTAGTTTTTGTGTTCTTCACATTTCTGATTCCTCGCCTTTTTGATATTTCTATTTTAATTTTTCAATTTTTAAATTTTAGATTTTTCGATTTCTCGAACTTCAGTGTGATTTTTTCAGTTTTTCTATTTTTTAAATTTTATATTTTATATTTTTATATTTTAAATTTTACGGTTCTTCGATTCGATTTCTTTACATCTCGGTTTTTCGATTTAAATTTTCTACTTTCGATTTTTACATTTCTCCATCTTTCAAGTTTTCGATTTCTCACCATTTCAATTTTTCGATATATTAATTTTCTATTTTTTGATGATTCTGTTTCTCGATTTTTAAATTTTTCGATTATTCCATTGTTCTTAGATTTTTCGATATTTCAGTTTTAGGATTTTTCAATATTTCCATTCTTCAATTTTTCGCTTTTTTTCAATTTCTGGATTTTTCAGTGGAGAATCGAAAATCTCCTATTGTTCCATATTTTGATTTTTCAATTTAAAAAATTTTGGAATTTTAGATTTTTCAGTTTTTTGATCTTTCGATTACTTGATCTTTCGATTTTCCAACTTCTCGGTTTTATATTTTTCGATTTTTCAGTTTTTGGATTTTAAAGATTTTTACTTTTTAGATTTTTCAATTTTTCGGTTTCTAAATTTCTCGATTTATTGAGATTCTGTGCTTCGATTCTGAATTTTCCGATGTTTCGATTTTTGGGTTTTTTGAGTTTTCGACTTTTCGGCTTTCAATTTTTTGTTTTTACAATGTTTCGATTTTTGAGTTTTTTTTTGTTTTGAAATTTTTCAGTTTGTCGATTTTTTCGTTTTTTCACGTTTCTGATTTCCCGATTTTTCGATATTTTAATTTTTCAATTTTTCGATTTTTTAATTTACAATTTTAGATTCAACTTCTTTGACATCTCGGTTTTTCGACTGTTTAAATTTTTCGATTTTTAGATTTCTGAATTTTTCAAATTTTCGATTTCCCAATTTTTCAACATTTCAATTGTAGTAATTTTTCGATTTTTTGATGTTTCGATTGCTCGATCTTTCAGTTTTTCGATTTTTAGATTTTTCAGTTTACCGATTTTTAAAATTTTTTGATTTCTCAATTTGTCGTTTTATCACTGTTCCGATGTTTCCGTTTTTCGATTGTTATTTCTTGATAATTCGATATTTCAGTTTTTTTTTAATCGAAAGCATTTATTCCTGATGAATGCTGATTGAAGGAAGTTACAAACCAAATAAGCAAAAAAATTACCGAAAACATTTTACATACAACTCAAAAGTCATATTTGTTTTTTTTTTAATTGCGTAAAATAAGGGAAGTAACGGTTTAATTTCATGTTTTCTCACAACTTTTCAAATAACAAGTTCAGAGAGTAAAACGTTTATGAAAATTCGTGTAACCATCCCTTCCAAACAGTTAAAGATGTTATCTCTAAATTTTATTAAGCACATCTCATTCAAAATTTATAGCTCCTTTACCTGTGGTGGAATAATATTCATGTTTTTAAATCTGTGTTCTCGTCGTCGTGAAAAAATAAACTTGTTTATCGAAAGTTTAAAGCCCTAACGACTTTTTTTAACATTGATTGCATGATTTCAGATTGACCCAAGTTTATTAAAACCGACTTAATTGTTCTGAAAATTTAGAAAAACACTAGCCTTAATTTAGTCGTTACAAACAGTAACAAAATTGTATTTATTTACCCCTTCCAAATAATTGATGACGTCGTCCAAACGATTATCAAACATATGTTCATGTTTTTTACAAAATTATGCTGATGATTGAGAATGTTTTACTAAAATTTTTAAGAAATATTCCTTAAGCGTTTATTAAGTACACATTTCAGTTTTTATAATATTTTTAAATTTTACCATTACTTAAATAAAACAAAAATTATTATTCAACGGTTACGACAAAAATCTAAATTAATTCGTACCATAGCAAATGCCTCCCTCAAACTAACTCTTCGGTTTTGAAATCACAGGAAACTTATTCTGCGGTTCCTTCGCCAGTTGACACAGTTTCACTCTCCCTGGTCTTTATTCTAAATAACAATATCAACCGCAAATTGTTGGCGTACACGCAATTACGCTGTATAGAGGGACTCGGAAAATTTCCGATGAAAGATAGATAATACTACAAAGAACAGAATTGCTGCCAACCTAAATAGATTCTAGTGCTAAACTCACAAATAAACCACTTGTTGGCAATTAGCAGTTTAACCCTCTCCAGAGTTGCCAGTGCTGCCATAACACAAGATTTAAATAGAATTATTTTCCATTCAGGTTTGCTGCTAATTTGGAATCACACCCAACGTTTTCCGCACCGCATTTTGTAATTTTGGGCTGCGGCTTAATAATTTACTTCAACATGTAATGATGCGTTTAAATGTTTACTGACCTTTTGTCAAGATCTTTAGAAGAAAATGATTATCTGTATCACATTTCGTAGATGACGTTGTCAGGAATTTGATTAGCGAAATTTCAAGCAAAAACGAATTACTTAATCAAATTTTGAGAAGTACTAATTTTTAACAAATCAACTCAAAAGACATTTGTGTCAATCTTAGCCTCAAAATATTACCAACTAAGATTTTAAAATTATAACAAACTATGATTTGTTGTCGGCGATTTTGAAAGAGTATTTTTGATAATACGGAAATAAACATCTCGAATGATACACAATCTAGTTGTCACTTTTTTTACGTTTCTTTTTAATAAGAAGTTTGTTCGATTAATATTATCGGTCCTGTTAACACTATTTATAGACATAGTTATCTCAAACAAAAAAAATGTTAACAAAGTTGCGTGTAGTACATACCATATGATGGAAAAAAACTCCTCTAGTAGGCCGTGTAATTTATTTTTAAAATAATGATGTTCCCTGTTCAGTGTGTCAACATCTCATACACATACTAGAGGAGTTTTTTTTTAATTCGTTCTTCTCTTCTAATGAAAGGTTATTGAGGAAAAGTTCGAGACAAAAAAGCATTTCTCTGTTTTCTTAGAACTTTCAAATTGTGTTTACATTAAAATTCTCCCCTCAGTATTTGTTGTTTAGGAAAATTTGTTGGAAAATCATGTTTATGTGTATATGTCACCTCACATAAAATTATCACTATTATAAGCGTATTAATAACGCACTGTTTGTTACTGACCATCCTAAATTATATTGTGAGGATTGGTGGGATTAATCTGTTGTTCCAGATGCGTGCGACCGGTTTCGTGCAGTAATTTTTTGCACATCTTCAGATTTGGCGACGAGTTGATACAGATTGTTCCTGTCATTTCTCACAAGAATACTTATTTAAAAAAAAAGTCACTCATATTTTAGTTGTTTTATTTACCATTTCTTCTAGGTGGCGTGTCCAAAACACAAGTCGATCTCGTCTAGAAGACATAAATATAGGTGGCCTTACCCCTAATCGAGTCTACCACTTCCGTGTAGCGGCCATTAACGCGAACGGTACTGGGGTTTCCTCGGAAAGTTTAACTGTGACTACTCAAGCTGAAGAGCATGTCGCCAGTGCTCCCACACATTTCGACGCTTATGCAACCAGCCCGACAAATATACACCTGAGTTGGCGACCTCCAGAAGTTCCTAATGGGATTATCCATCGCTATATTATTTACTATATGGAGGTATAGTGTGCACTTACCCATAATAATAATAATAATAATAATAACAAAAATCTTTAAGACGAGCTCATCTGTGGAGCATAACATCGACACAACAGAGTTAAAGTTTTTCCTCGGACGTTTGTCCGTTTTTACTGAGTACAGTATTTGGATAGTTGCCGTAAACGAAAACGGTGCCGGGGCTGCCACCGAAGAAAAGATTATACGCACTTTTAGCATGGCGCCTTCCGAATCACCATCTAACGTAACATTAGAACCCTCGAGCACGGTAATGTTATATAAACAGTAAAGAGACATTACCTACTTACGGGTTGTTTTAGAGCGTAATTGTCCGCTGGGAGCCACCACCGAGGGAGTCCCAAAATGGCGTCATTACGGGCTATAAATTACGATACAGAAAACAGGGTAAAAAGGGGCAGACGATAACAACCCCTGCTAATGAAAGGTGGTATGTAATGAAGGATTTGGAACGAGATTCCGAATACCAAATCAAACTGTGGGCGATTAACACCAATGGTACTAGCCCTCCCACCGACTGGATTAGTGTGGAAACTTACAAAAATGACTTAGATGAAAGTAGGGTACCAGACGAACCAGGTCCTTTAAGAGGTAGGATTAATTAATAAAATCTCTCAAGTTTTACGAAGCTTCTTTTAGTGCGACCGGCGTCGGATAAACTTTTCGTGATGTGGACACCGCCAGTTAACCAGAATATAAGAGTCAGAAATTATGTTTTGGGGTGGGGGAAGGGTATTCCAGACATGTACGAGCAGGAATTGGACGAAAAAGCGCGGAATCATCTTATCGAAAGGTTGGAAGCTAATTCCGAGTATGTGTTGAGTTTGAGGGCTAGGAATGAAATGGGAACGGGGCGACCTGTGTACACGACTGTGCGAACCCAGGACGAACCTCCACCGGAACCGTCCCCACCTTTAATACCACCAATCGGATTGAAGGCACAGATCTTGAGTGCGACTTCGGTGGTTTTATACTGGACTGATACTACCTTGAGTAAAAGTCAGGTGAGTTGTGTTTATTTTTATAGTTGTTATTAATTAATATTCCGGGTCAGAAAATGGTGTACACAAAACCCTTTATAAATAGAGGGTCTCAGTTTTTTTCAGCGTAAACCTGTCTGTCCCGTGAAGTTACGCGTGTTGAGCCATTGTGAATCGTAACAGGTGTAGGTTTAAAGCTGAATTAGAGGGTTAGCTGGTCGAATTTCATCAGGGATTTCTAGACCCTCTACTGTTCTTATTTTTTTATAAATGATGTGACAACGGTGATATCTTGTCATAACAAATTTTCTGATTACGTGTATTAACTTCAGTGAAAATGTATAGCGAAGATTTTTAAAGTTTCTGCCTTGTAAAGAAAGGGAAAAATATCTGGAACGTCTTACTGCTACAATATGCAACACTTGTAGAAGCACATAAATTTTTATTGTATTACATTCTGAGCGTAAGCTAGTTATAATCGCGTCAATCGAGCGAATTACTTCTTTCATGTTTTCTCGACGTTTCATGACCCCTAGAGTGCGAAAAAAGTGGTCTCCCATTTTCGTCTTCGTCGATTTTTAGATAGATAATATCCGACATTACCGGAGCGATTGTTGTCAAATTTGGTATGTATGTTAGGAATATCATATAGATGGTATAAAACGCTAACCATAATTTGTCTGCTGATCCCCACCAATAATAATGGAATGACTACAACTCCAAATTTTACAATAGTAAATTAATAACGTACTCATCCACTTGTGGTTTATAAATCCGTGTTGAGTTTTTACTCGGCATCCACATTTTTAGAAAACAACTCAAAATTGTATAACAAGTTAACAACATTATACAATTTAAGTATGAAATTTGAAAATCGAATGTTTTGGAATCTTTTGAACGTTTTATGGTTATCAGAAGGGAGAGAAAATAGTCAATCAAAACTTATCCGTTCACAAAATTAATTTCACACTTTTTAATACATATTTCGATTCTTAATTTTTTTTTTTGATATTTTATTTTCAAATATTTAAATTTCTCGAATTTTCAGTTCGTCGATTTTTTCAATTTCCGAATTTTTTAATTTTGGATTTTTCACTTTTTTGATGTTGCGTTTGAGTTTTAGATCTTTTAATTTTTCGACTTCCCATTTAGATTTTTTGGTCAATTTTTCGATTTTTAAACTTTTTGATATTTCAATTTGTGTCATTTCTAAACTTCCGGTTTCCCAATTTCTCTATAATCGATTTTTGAATTTTTCGATTTCACCATTTTTGGACTTTCCAATTTTTCGATATTTCAGTTTGCTAGATTTTCAATTTGGCGATTCTTTAATTTCAGTTTTTTGACTTTTCAATTTTGCTGTATTTCAGTTTTTGGCATTTTTAAATTTTCGTTTTCTCAATTTCTCGGATTAATCGATTTTTCAATATTTCGATTACTCAAGTTTCGATGCATCAGTTTTGGGATCTTCAAATTTTGAACTTTTCAACTTTTCGATTTTTTGTTTTTTTTACTTTTTTGATTTTTCAAAAATTTTTCGATTTCTTTAAATTTCAGATTGTTCAATTTTTCGAATTTATAAATTTTAGATTTTCCAATTTTTCAACTTTTCGATTTCTCGATCTCTCGATTTTGCAACTCCTTTTAGATTTTCCGGTTTTTCAATTTTTCGATTTTAAAATTTTTGATTTTTCAATTTTTCTACTTTTTCCATTTAAAAATTTTCGATTTCTCAATTTCTCGATTTATGAATCTTTTGATTTTTCGACGTTTCGAGTTCTCAACTTTCCGATTTGTTGGTTTTTCAATTTTTCGATTTTTCAAGTTCTCCATGTTTCGGTTTTTGAATTTTTCGACTTTTTGATTTTGAGGTCTCGATTTTTCGATTTTTTACATCTTCCATTTTTTCAATTTTTCGAAATTTAAATTTTAGATTTTTCACTTCTTTGATGTTCTTTCGATTGATTTCTCCATCTTTCGATTTTTCGACTTCCAGCTTTTAGATTTTTCGGTTTTTCAATTTCTCTATTTTTAAATTTTTGATTTTTCTATTTATCTACTTTTTACATTTCTAAATTTTCGACTTATCAATTTCTCGATTTTTAATGCATATTTCGATTACTCACGTTTTTGATGTCCCAGTTTTAGGATCTTTTGGATCTTGGATTTTTCAGTTTTTCGATTTTTTGATTTTCTATTTTTTTGATTTTTCATTTTTTTAATTCCAGATTTTTCAATTTTTTGATTCTTCATTTTTTCTATTTTTCTGTGCATCGATTTTTTCGAATTTTCGTATTTTTAAATTTTAGATTTTCAATTTTTTTGATGTTTTGAATTTTTGTTATTTTTCAACTTTTCTACTGTTTATATTTCAAAATTTTAAATTTCTCAATTAATCTATTTTTTATTTTTTACTTTCCGATTTCTCCACTCCGATTTCTTAATTCTCTAATTTTGGGATTTTTGAATTTTCCGATTTTTGGATTTTTAAATTTTTTACTTCGTTGATTCACCAAAATTTTTGGATTTTTTATGTTTTAGATTTTTCTATTTTTCGAATTTTTGATTTCTGGATTTTTCAATTTTTTGATTCTTCATTTTTTGTATATTTTACACTTTGGATTTTTTAATTTTTCAAATTTTTAAATTTTAGATTTTCGACTTTTTTCAATGTTTCGATTTCTCGATCTTTCGATTTTGTAACTTCTAGCTAGCTTTTAGATTTTTCGGTTTTTCAATTTTTCGATTTTTAAAATTTTTGATTTTTCAATTTTTATACGTTTTCATTTCAAAATTTTCGACTTCTCAATTTCTCGCTTTTTAATATTTCGATTACTCACGTTTTCAGTGTCTGAGTTTTGGGATCTTCATTCAATTCTTGGATTTTTCAATTTTTCGATTTTTTGATTTTCTACTTTTTTAATTTTTCAAAGTTTTTTTTTAAATTTCAGATTTTTCAGTTTTTCGATTCTTCATTTTTCTGTGCATCGATTTTTTCAATTTTTAGAATGTTTGTAGATTAGATTTTTCACTTTTTTGATATTTCAATTTTCGATTTTGCAACTTCAAGCTTTTAGATTTTTTGGTTTTGAATTTTTTGACTTTTCAATTTTTCCACTCCGATTTCTTGAGTTTTCAATTTTTCGATTTCTCGATGTTTCAGTTTTGGGATTTTTCAATTCTAGGATTTTTGAATTTTCGGATTTTTGGATTTGTTAATTTTTTACTTCGTCGATTCAGCAAAATTTTTGGATTATTTATATTTTAGATTTTTCGATTCTTTATTTTTTCTATATTTTACATATCGATTTTTTCAATTTTTGAATTTTTAAATTTTAGATTTTCGACTTTTTTGATTTTTCGATTTCTCGATCTTTCGATTTTGCAACTTCTAGCTAGCTTTTAGATTTTTCGGTGTTTCAATTCTTCGATTTTTAAAATATCTGATTTTTCAGTTTTTCTACTGTTTACATTTCTAAATATTCGATTTCTCAATTTCTCAATTAATCGATTTTTTAATTTTTTGACTTTTCGATTTCTCCACTCTCAATTTTTCGGTTTTTTAAGTTCTCGATGTTTCAGTTTTGGGAATTTTCAATATTGCAATTTTCGGATTTTTTGATTTTTTATTCTTCAAAATTTCTCAATTTTTTATATTTTAGATTTTTCAATTTTTCGAATTTTTAAATTTTACATTTTTCACTTTTTTGTAGTTGTTTGGATTGATTTCTCGCCTTTAATTTTTCGACTTCTCATTTTTAGATTTTCAATTCTTCAATTTTTGGCATTTGTAAATTTTCGATTTTTCATTTTCTCGATTAATCGATTTTTTTATTTTTCGACTTCGATTTCTCAAGTTTTTAATGTGTCAGTTTTGCAATTTTTCCATTTTTCCATATTTTGATTTTTCACTTTTTCGATTTTTTGTATTTCAGATTTTTTAATTTTTCGATTTCTCAATTTATAGAGATTTCGTTTAGATGTTTCGATTTTTTGGTTTTGTTAATGTTAAACTTTTCAATTTAAAATTTTTCGATTTCTCGATATTTCAGTTTTTCAATCCTGATTTCTTGGTTTTCCAATTTTTCGACATTTCAGTTTTGGGATTTATCAATTTTCCGAATTTTCAGTTTTTCGATTTCACGTTTTTAATTTTTTTAATATGTATTTCAATTTTTGATTTTCCAAAATTTCGATTTAATAATAATAATAAACTTTATTATCCAACGAACAGTTGAGTTCATAAAGGAATTTAGGTATAATTAGTAAAAATATTTAAAATATAAACTATTGTAAAATATATCATACAATTTTTCGACTGCTCTGTTTTTCGATTTTTATTTATTTATTTATTTATTTATTTTTTGATTTTTCGATATATCAATATTTCGATGTTTTAGTTTTTCGGTTGTTCTGGCAGTTTAATTTATGTTAGTTATTTTTAACCTTGGCACTTTCTACAAAAAAAGCCTGTCAATACTCACAAACGACACTTTTATTTTCAGTACGTGAGGGATAACCGCTACTACGTCGTTAAGTACACCGACGAAAAAACAATGAAAACCCGCCACAGAAACTGCACCGACTTAAACACGATGATCGACGACCTAAAACCAAACACGATGTACGAATTCGCGGTAAAACTCATCAAAGGTTTGTTCAGAGTAGTAGTGCGAACACTTAATCAAAATATTAAACATTAGGCCGAAACGAAAGTCCCTGGAGCATGGTCGTCCAGAACGCCACGTGGGAACTGGCACCGAATGCCGCCCCTCGAGATCTCGATGTGCATTTAAAAGAAGACGAGCCACAGTTCATCGAATTGACCTGGCAGCCGCCGAAAACCACAACCGGTAGAATTACAGGTGCGGACTTATCGTTTAATGCGTTCGTTCGTGCTGGACGTTTTTGTTTCAGGTTATGTGATATTATACACTGATAATAAAACAAAAAGCGATCGGGAGTGGTTACCGCAAGCGACAAAAGGTGACAAGCATTCAGCCGTGTTACGTGACCTTAAACCCTCGACGGAGTATTATTTCAAAGTTCAAGCACGAAATAGCAAAGGTTACGGACCCTTTTCCAATGTCGTAATATTTACGACAGGCCCAAGTAAGTGTTGTTTGTTTGTTTGTTATATTGTTTTGTTTGTTTGTTGTTTTCTTTTGTTATTTATTTGTGTTTTGTTTTCGTTAGATGTTGGTATATTGGCAGCCAGCGCAGGCCAGCATTTAGGTAATATTTGATTTTTTTTATTTATTTATCGTGTTATTTGTATGTCTAATATCAAATTTGAGCTATTATTAATTGTTTTGTTTGATTTTCAGATGGGAAAGGAATTTTTTCTGGTACTGTCATTCTATACATCTTAATAGGGGGGTGCGTAGTAGCAGTGACTACGATAGGTGTCGTGACAACAGTTCTGTGTTGTCGGAGGAGGGATACTACCACTTCTCCAGACAGAAGTAAAAAGGGTTACCAGAAGGGTACCCAAAATGTTAAACCACCTGATTTATGGATCCACCATGATCAGATGGAATTAAAAGCCATCGAGAAAAGTCAGTCAAACAATGACGGTGCTAGTAGTAGTGGCGCCATGACGTTGCCACGAAGTATGGGTGGTAACGATTATGACACCCACGACGCCATTCACACAAATTCGTTGGATCAACGTACCTATGTTCCTAACTATATGGGTAAGATTCGTCACACATCCCATTGCATGTTACATCCCCACACCCCCTTTATTGTTTAATATTTAAATCAACCCCCTCTTTAAACAATAAATTCTCCAACCTCGCCACTATAGCGTTCTTAAACCCGTACGTAACAGCTGTTCTCGTAAATATTTTTAACCATTCTCCCTTTATGACACTTCTAAATGATTGCTAATTACAAATTCATAACCGACATCTGGCGGGCTTGAATAAAAATGCCAACTCAAGATTTAATTAAACCAAATATTTAAAAAATGAGCGTTTTCTTTTATTTATGCACTTCTTTTCGCTTTGCTGCACTTAGGTGTTTCCCCTGATGATAAAATCAAACGCACGGTCAGGTCTAAGCCAATTATTACGTTACCAGTGGACTCCAAGCCTCCAAGAGAACGTAAGTAGAGAATTGCTTCAGCCGTTGGTGATAGTGTTGTGATAAAATTAACGTAACCTCTGCCATCGATGTTTTGTGTTGAAAGATGTGCAAAAATTATTTGAAATGTGTCTGGAACAAAACGGACTTTTGGTGAAGTTCGTGTGAAGAAATGTTTAAAAATTTGGGGGTTGGGTGTGTTTGAATATTTTACGCTAACCAGTAGTAACGAAATTAGAGCGATGAATCCATGAATGAAAGTTCCTGATAAATATCTACACTGCCTATGAATTAATTTACGTCGCGTTTGTCAGTTTAGATTCAATTATTCAGACAAAGAGTGATTCCGGATTGTGATTTATCACGTAACGTTGTTATAAATATCTGAGGGTACCTACCATATGGGAAAAATGTTAAATAGTTTGAAGTATATCCCGGGTGTCTCAGTTTACTTGTTCTATCTGTCTGTCTGCCCTCTGTCCGATTTTTATTAGACCGATAAACTACTGGACCGATTGTTGTCAAATGTTGTATGTCTATTAGGAATATCATGTAGATGATAAAACGCCAACCAAAAATTGGCTAATTATCCCCACTAATAATTTCACAACGCCATCTCGAAAATTTACAACAGTAAATTTGTTTTTATTCTTATAAAATAAGATACTCCTGTATTTGTGCTGTATGAATCCGTAAATTTGTATAACAACATTTTGCAAACGTTTTAAGGTTATCGTAATCGTGGTAAATGATTAATCAAAAGTCCTGAAATATGTAAAATATTATGACTCTTTACTTGTGGTTTGTCAAAGCACTCATAGTTTTTAAAATTACATATCCAGATGACTAGGGTTATCATAAAAAATAAAATTCGCAAAATCAAATGTTAAATTTTTAGAAACATCTTGATTTATTTACCTTCGATCAGTTTTTGGACATTATTTTTGGTTTTTCGTTCTTCGATTTTACAATTTCCTGTTTTTCATTTTCTTTAATTTTTCAATTTTTCATTTTTCACTGTTTCACTTTCATAATTTTTCGTTGTTGCAACTTCAATTTTTTCAGTTTCTTGACTTCCAAATTTTTCAATTTTTCCTTCAATTTTTCGATTTGCAATTTTTCAGTTTTTTACTTTTAATTTTTAGATTTTTGGTTTCCTCAATTTTTCAAGTTCTTGATTTGTATTTTTATATCAGAATTTTTCTTTTTTTCATTTCATCTATTTTTTCGATTCCTCGATTTTCCAATTTTTGGATTTCTCAATTATTCAATTTCTCTAATTTTCACTATTTCGGGTTTACAATGTTTCGTATTTTCGATTTTGCAGTTTTTCGATTTTTTAAGTTTCTCGGTTTTTAATCGTTCGATTTTTCAGTTTTTCAGGTTCTTGATTTCCAATTTTTAGATTTTTCAAAGTTTTTATTTTATACTTTTTCGATTTTATATTTTTGTTTTTTCAATTTTTCCATTTATTTTATTAGAAAATTAGAAAAATCGAAACACTGAAAAAACCAAAAATCGGAACATTAAAAAACTAAAAATCGAGAAACTTAAACATCAAAAAAGAAAAATTATTCGAAAAATTGGAATAAAGAAAAAACTAATCGAATCTAAAAATTGGAAATTCCAAAAGTTGTCAAAATTGTAAGATTGAAAAATCGAAAAATTGAGAAATCGAATAAATGGAAAAAATTTTATAATGAAATATAATTGAAAAATGTAAAAATTCTAAAATCGTAAAATAGAAAAAGTGAAATTAAAAAAAATGTAATTATTATTAGATACATATGTATATTTCAAACCAAACCTAAAAAAATTACAAATTGCAATTTTTCAGTTTCTCAATTTTTAATTTTTAGATTTTTCAAAGTTTTCATTTTATATTTTTTGGTTTTCTCATTTTTGATTTTTCCATTTTACAATTTTTCCATCTTTTTTATTAAAAAAGTTGAAAAATCTAAACACTGACAAAACAGAAAATTTCAAAATCGAAAAAGTGGAAAATCGAGAAATTGCAAATAGAAAAGAACTGAAGAAAAATCGGAACATTGAAAAACCAAAAATCGAGAAACTTAAAAATCAAAAAAAAAATCGAAAAATGAGAATAAAGAAGAAAAACGAATCGAATCTAAAAATTTGTAAATCCCAAAAATTGTTCAAAATTGTAATGTCTATAAATTGTAACATCGAAAGATCGAAAAATTGAAAAACTCAATATCGGGTAATTGAAAAATTAAAAATAGAAAAATCGAATAAATGAAAAAGTTTTAAAATCAAATAATTAAAAATATAAAATTAAAAATTCTAAAATCGTATAATAGAAAAAGTGAAAATTATTTAAAATCTTGTTTATTATTAAATACATACAACCTAAAAAATTTCAAATGAAAAGTTGAAGAAATAAAAAAATTGAAAAATCCAGGAACTGAAAATCTAAAATTGAAAAATCCAAAAATTGAAGAATATCACATCGAAAAATTGAAAAACCTAAGAAAAATTTGAAATGAAAACTGAAATTGAAATGAATGAATCGATGAAATTTTTGATTTCACAATTTTTCGTTTCTTTAATTTTTCGATTTGCAATTCTTCAGTTTTTGGCTATTTTTCGTCTCCTCAATTTTTCAAATTTTTATTTTTTGTTTTCCCGATTTTTTATTTTTCATTTTCTCGATTTTATATCACAATTTTTTGTTTTTCACATCGTTTTTTTTTTTCGATTTTTTATTTTTTCGTTTATTTAATTCTTCAAATTTTCAATCTTTGATTTTTCGATTCCTCGATTTTCCAATTTAATTTTTTTTCCAATTTATCAATTTTTGGATTTCTCAATTATCCGATTTCTTTAATTGTCATTGTTTCGATTTTACAATGTTTCGTTTTTTCGATTTTGTAATTTTGCGATTTTTAACGTTCTCAGTTTTTAATGTTTCAATTTTTCAATGTTTGAAGTTCTTCATTTTCAGTTTTTAGATTCTTTAAAGTTTTCATTTTATACTTTTTCGTTTTCTCATTTTTGATTTTTCCGTTTTACAATTTTTCCATTTCCTTTATTAAAAAAGTTGAAAAATCGAAAAACCTAAAAAGAGCAAAAAATTGAAAAATCGAAACATTGAAAAAACGGAAAATTACAGAATCGAAAACGTGGAAATCGAAAAACTGAAGGAACGAAAAATCGGATTATTGAAAAACTAAAAATCGAGAAACTTAAAAATCGAAAAAAAATTATCGAAAAATTGGAAATTCCAAAAATTGACAAGATTGTAAAGCCTAAAAATTGTAACCTTGAAAAATTGATTAAATGAAAAAGTTTTAAAGTCTAATAACTGAAAAATAGAAAAATTCTAAAATCGTAAAATTGAAAAAGTGAAAATTTTGGTATAATTATTATTACATAGGTACATATATTTAAAAAAAAAAATTGAGGAACTGAAAATATAAAATTGAAAAAACAAAAAATTAAAAAGTTTGAAAGTTAAAAAACCGAAACTGAAAAATAAACCTGAAAGCTCGCGAAATTGCAAAGCGAAAAACTGACAAACAAAAAAAAAAGAAAAATTCAAGTCAAAAATATTGCGAGAGTGATATTTATACCACTGGTTTTTACTTTATAGAGATTATCAGAAAAAAAATCGCAAATTTTTTTAATAATTTTTCAAAGAAGCGGGATTTATTGGGCTACACTTCAGGGGCGAGAAAAGTTCTGTCGAAATAACCTTTGACTATTTTTTTTTTTTTTCATTTAAAAATGTAATATACCCTAAAAACTAATCGATGATAAGAGAATTTAATGTCAGTTTTGGTCTGGGCACATTTTAAAAAAGACGCCGAGTCCTTTTATTAAGTACACTACATTGCAGCCATAGCAACTCCAATAAACACAACCTCCCTGAGTCAATCAAGTTCGGACTCTACGCCTTCAAGTAGACCTTCATATCCCCGTACTCAGTACAACTTGCCCAGAGCTCACGTAACAGTAGATTCATCGCTATCAAATGCGCCTTCAGAAAGTCCTTATGCCTTACATCCCCCTGGTTGGGTGGAATCAAACATTAGGTAATTTTTCTCGTCATTCCTATCCACCATTTAATAACCCACAAATTAGTCAACAGCCTGTGGCGGCCCATGTCACCGCTGGCCCCACCTACGCCCCCGGTTTAGGGGTTTTAGCGGAATCCCAAGGGGTGAAGCGCCTCCAAACACAAGGACACCCCCTTAAAAGCTTCACGGTACCGGCACCACCGCCGATATCAGCGCCTGGTACCCCTCAACCGAAACACATAGGTTGGTATTCGTGTGGCCGTGTTGGTAGAACTGACGAGTTGATTACAGTGCGGCCTAATTCATCACCATTCAAAAAACCCCCTACAAGTAGTTCCAGTACTTTGACGAGTACACCGCCCTCTAGGATAAATCCTTCGCATCCGCCCCCTCACACTGTCGAAGAAGTACAAAGACTGCAACCTTCACATTCAACCGAGGAGCTCAATCAGGAAATGGCAAATTTAGAGGGACTCATGCTCACGCTTAGCACAATCACTGCAAATCAATTTGAATGTTAAGGTGATAGTAGAAAAGACATGTAGGCAGCTCGATATTATTTATTTATTCAAGTGACTTAAAATATGGAATTCTAGTGTTAATTTATACAACTGAGGTGTTCAGGTTACGAATTGCGAATGTAATTTTATTTATACGTGAGGCACTAATTCAAATCGTGAGTGGTACTATTATGTTAGGCGTAATTTTTAGTTATCAAAAGATCTCATATACTCGTAATATACTTGCCGAACGGCAGAAATTGGCTGGGCCTACTTTTACAAGCCATATAAATTTTAGAATAAGTGATTTTTCTACGGCCATTTTATAAGCAATTTTCTTTTTATAGAAAACAACGGCTCAAAATAGTTCCTTTGTAGGAGTCCGATTTTATTTTATTTAGTTGAATTATATGTGATATTTTAACCTGACTTTTTCAGAGGAAACTGTCCACAATTCAGTATTCTTGCCTTGATTTCTAGTGGGCAAGCCCAATTTGATGTAGTTTAGACTGAAAACGGACTTCATCGAAAACATACTCAATTTGCCCACTAAATATCACAAACCCGGTGATCTCAATTGGCCTTCTGAAGATCCCGTGTTGCCAAATTCGGTAACGTAGATCACCGTACCGACGATTTTATTTAAATATTCAATTAATGCGAGCTAAACGAGTACAATCAGTGAATATTTAAATAAAATGGCGATGCCAATTTTTACCTTGTACATATTGTTTGTAAAAAGTTTTATTGTATTTATTAAACAAATCGATTTTTACATTTTGTATTATTGTACATAAAAATGTCAGATATATTTAAATTTTATACATTAGTACTAAATGTAATTACGTAATCTGCTAAAATGCTTTAAGGCGATATGACGAACATGGAGGAGACATATTAATCTCTGTGTTACAGCAATATTTTTTAACCGCGTTTTAGTTTCAGTTAAAAAATATGCATTGATATTAAGTTCGGGGGAGTACCTTAGATGAAATTATTGTTATTATTTTTTTTGTTTAAGTAACGTACGTAACAATGTGATGTGTGATTATTAATTAATTGGCTAATTGCAGGCATGTTTCAATTTCACTTGCCTTACAAATTGTTAATGTAACATATTTTACGAATCTTTTTTACTGTAGTAGTAGGTAGCTACTTACTATTGTAATTTATGTGACTGATATTAAAATAAAAACGAATATATATCGAAACGTAGTTTATTTCCTCAACTGTAAACACAACGTCTAGCCCCTGGAATGCAATTAATAGTACAACTTGTGCCAGCTCGTACTTAAGTTTTTTTGTTATGGTTGAAAAAAATTTTGAATTATTTCACGCCGAAAAAACTCAAGACGCCACTAGAAATACAATTTCAAAACCAAAATGGGTGCAGAATTAAATAAAAATAATTTTTACTTCTTAAGTAGGATTTATTAGTGACTACTACCTTCTCGGGTTCTTTTTCACGTGGTATTTTGGCTGCATAATCTTAATATGTTTTTTTTTCTTCCTCGTAAGGTACGAGACAAAAAATTATCACGGTGCAATTTTTTAAGAATTTTTTATTATCTAGACCTTTGACTAAATAATAAACCCAGTAGAAGTTAATTTAGTATACAAAAATGCTTTTTTCAGTGATATTTTTGCATCAAATAATTTCTGATCTGTGAAAACTCAATTGTGTCAAGAAATTTTGAGACAAAAAATTATCACGCATCACTTTTTGTATAAAAATCAATTAGAAAAACGTAGTATGCGTAATTGTTGTTTATTTGTATGATATGCACGATATGCAATTGTTTGTCAGAACTGATAAAGTGTCGAAATATAATTGGCTGAGCTACAATAATTGTCTTTCGCCATGGGCAAAGAAAACTATTTAACAGAACGTGAAAAAGGACAGATTGAGGCATACTATGACCAAGGTTTGACTTTTGCGGAAATAGGATGAAAGATTGGAAGAGATCGGACCACAATCTCCAAGTTTGTAAGAAAGAAATACAGTGAAAATGGACCACAAAATTGTGGAAGAAAAGAAAAACTTACTGCACGTGCCAAAAGATCCATTGTGACTCCGGGTATAAAGGATAACATGTCGTCTCAAATGATAAAGACGACCCTAGGACTTCCTGTTCACAAAAGAACAGTTTTGCGAGTACTGGCTAATGACAAAAATGTTAAATATGCCAAATATAAGAAACAACAAATGTTAACAAAAGAACATATTCAAAAACGTCGTGAATGGGCCAGAGAAATGTAGACGAAAAATGAAGAATGGTTCCAGATAGTTTTTTCAGATGAAAAGAAAGTTAATCTTGATGGTCCTGATGGTTTTAGATATTATTGACACGATTTACGGAAAGAACAAAAGTATTTGTCAAAACGAGTTCAAGGAGGTGGCAATGTTATGGTCTGGGGTGTCTTTAGTAGCTTAGGAAATAATAACTTAGCATTAATCAAATCGAATGGACTCTCTGAATTACCAAGATGTGTTGGAAATGCACCTCAAACCACCTTTGAACGTATTTCAAGACAGCAAAGTGATTTTTCAGCAAAATAATGCGTCGATTCATGTGTCTAATTCATCGAAAACCTGGTTTCAACGACAAAATATAGCTTAGCTATAATAGCCTGCAAAAAGCCTACATCTCAACCCTATTGAGAATGTATGGAGTTCTCTTGTACGAGAGGTTTATAAAGATGGGAAGCAGTACGCAACAGTTAATGAATCGAAAGATGGTATCTTCGGGGCTTGGGAGAATTTGGACGTCAATTACTTCATCCATTTGGTCAATTCTATGAAGCAACGCGTCTACAATCTCATAGAAGCAGGTGGAAAATACATTGGGTATTAAATTAGTTTTCATTTAGTTAGTTAGTTATTTCCCTTTTAAGCGTGATAATAATTTGTCACAATAAGTATGTTAACAAAATTACATATTTTCAATAAATTTCGTTCAGTTTAGTGTTTTCTGTGAAAAAGTTTTATTAAATTAATTAAAAATGGAATTGCTCAATCAACCAGGTATCTTCACTTTCTTTTAATACATTTAGGCAAAAATTCTGCACCGTGATAATTTTTTGTCTCGTACCTTAGAAACTGGTTTGAGTTTTGGATCAATTTTTTTATGAGGATAATTGACTGACTGAACTATCAAGAACTTTAATCATTATTTTTATGGTCTCCATACACTTTTCTGCAACATTCAATTCTTCTGGATTCATTAATTTGACTTTTTCTATAATTTTAGTCAAAACAGTTGCAACTTTGTTTTTGAGCATCCAGATTGGACAATACCGACTTGGACCCCAATTCATTATCAATTACGATTGGTTGATTTTGTTCTTTCCATCTTCATTACGTTCATCTAAAGCAACAAATGAAGTCATTAATATTTATTTTAATTATTCACGGACAAATAAAAACAGAATAATACTATTAATTCTCTGCAACATAACTACAGAATTTCGGAGATGCGAGAAATTTTTACCGCATTGGTTACAAGAAAATCCGTAATTTTTATTTTTTCGTACACGTATTTTGAGGTTAGATACGCTACTAAATCTGTTTTTGCACTGTTCACAAACATTTTTCTTTTTTCCGTTCATCATAATTCACCAAAGTACAATTTAAAACAGATTGAAACTGAAAAACTTCACAAAAATTTGATACACTTGGTATTTCAGTTTTACGCACAGCGCATGCGCATTACGCAATTCTCGTTGCATCCCGAGGGCGCCAAATGACATACTTCGTCGATATACACGTGCGTATGTATATTGTTGCGCATGCGTACTTAGCTTTACGAAAAATTAACCGTTTTGTTTACAGATGGCGCAATAATCGGACACTTCTTCTGTCGATGAAGTAGCAACCTGCATTATTCTTATCACCTGCAATAACAGGTCGAGTGTCATCTCAATTTTCTGTCCAAATGTTGAGAACAGTAATTTATTTCGTGTCGAATGTTTTCCCCGAAGATTTCTGATGTGAAGTAAAGCGAAACTGGTCCTTCACAATCACCTGTCAATTGTTCACGTTGTTTGTTGTCAGGTAAGACAGCCCCCTTTCAATCAATTTTTGTTTATCGGAGGAAAACTATTGATTTTTATGAAATGAGTTTTGGTAATGTGTGATTTTAAAGCGCCGAGATTATTGCAATATGATGTTGTCCAACACGAGTGTAGCACAACGTGTCGGAAAACTGGTCCAGAATTAAATAATGGGTTTGAAAAGTGTCGTGCGGACTTAAATAATACTGGTTGACATTATTTAGTGGAGGTTAAATGATTTGATGATTCCGAGGACAAAATAATTATAAATCGCGTCTTGGAGCATCTTACTGGTGCCTCAATATTACAAATGGTTATAGTTAGAGCGCTGAAACTGGGAAGTTGAGGTATGTTGAAAAACCAACCGCGGACAATTAACATAACTAGTTGAATACTTACCTGATACTTGATGCCTGATGCCATATACCTAATTGTGTCGTTTTATTCGACGCACTTTTTCTGGTTGAGTCCGGTTTTGATTTTCCAATGTTAAAAAAAAATCATTGGGAGATGCCAGACCAGCTGTTAGTGTAAATACTCCACTACAGACTCTAAAAAACCTGCTGAGAGTACTTGTTTTTTTGTTATATAAAGTCATATATTATACAGATGAGTTCAAATCGAAAATAATGTTAAAATTACCTGGACTAAAACGTACAATCAAGTAAATTTGAGCTCACAGCCAGCTAAGAAACAAGTGAATTATAGGGAGAAGTAGACCATGTAAATATGGATGTACTAAATCCTGATGAATCCCATAAATCGTTCAAAGCCATTGGATTATATTCTAATCTTTATAAAATATATTTTATGCAGTTTGAGTAACTCACTGGATAAAAGTAAGTGTAAAATTGATTAATGATTTGATTGTACACCATTTTATTGAATGTGTTATTAATGCAACATAAGAAAACTAAGAAGTTGGCGGGATTACATCAATATTTATTATTATTTTTTAGAAATTTTTGATTATACAACTCTAAATAAATGTCAGAAAATTCAGTTCTGCTTCACTTACGAATAATATCATACATATAAAATGTATCGTTACAATTTTAGTTGTTTTGCTATGTGTTACGTTCGACAATGTACATAAAAGTTGAGTTTATGACGATACTTCGATAAGAAACTTGTTGATTGCTGCTATAATGTATAAAGCGTTGAGGGTTGTAACATGGCCAGGGTTAAAAAAGTTGTTTATGGCCATGATACATACAAAATTTTAGTCACCATATTTTTTAAACCATTAAAAAATCATTCGTGAGCAAAATATATTTTTGTATGAGTGTATTTTAACAATAAAATAATTTTGGAAAACTGATATGAAATAACGTGTTTAAAATCTTTATTTTGACAACCGAATGTTGACACGAAAAAGTGACTTTGTGTAATTCAAATGATATCAGTAAAATTTAATCAAGACACTTTTTCAACATGAATCCTGGTCACAATAATAAATAAAAGATATTAGACAGATTTCGAAATTCAGAAAGAATTTATCTTAAGTTATTTAAATAGAATTTCTACGCCTCTGCAGCACAATCAAGCAAGTTCAATTTCTTAAATTAATTATAAAATGTGATTTGGCGATATTTATTTTTTATGGCATCCCCCCTACGAATTTTAATAAAACGGAAGTGTATTTTAAACTTCAGGTGAACAAGCAGTAAAGAAAAATTTTCTGAAAAGATGTGATGATGCCATCAACTTTTTAGTGGGGACAGATATGTCAAATTGGAGAAGTACATTGTATTACTAATGAAATAAAAGTACTATGTTCCAGAATTTAAGAAAGCTGAGTGCTTATATAGCGCATAATAAAAAAATTGAAAAATTAAAAATTTAATAATTTAAAACAAAAAATGAAAAGTCGAAATAGAAATTGAAAAAGTACGACATACTAAAATCAAAAAAATCGAGAAATTGAAACATTAAAAGATTGAAAAATCATAAAATTGATGAGAAATCGAAAAGTTGAGAAGTCGTACAATTGAAAAATCGAAAATTTGAAGAATCGAAATAATTACTAAAAAATCTCAAAACTAAAATTTCGAAAAACTAATAAATCGATTAATTAAAAATCGAAAAACGAATTGAAAACTCGAAAAAACGAAAAATCGCAAAATACCGGGAAATCGAAAAGTCGAAAGATCGACAA